GGGAGTATAAATGGGGGAAGAAATGTAAATTTGTTAACTTTGGCCTGAAGAATGAAAAAGCGGAATATTTCTTAAATGGAGAAAGATAGAGATTTCTGAGGTGCAGAGGGTTTTAGTTGTTCTAATGCACAAGTCAGAAAAAGTTAGTATGCAGGTACAGCAATGTAATTAAGGCAATTAATGAGATTCAGTTTTTCATTACAAGAGGAATTGAACATTAACATTCAGTTATGTAGAGTATTGGTGAGACCACATCTTGAATTCTGTATGCAGCTGTGGTCACCTTATTTAAGGAAGGATTTAAATGCAATGTGGGAGGTTCAGAGCAGAGGGGTTTTTTTATTTATTCATGGGATGTGGGCTTCACTGGCTCTGCCAACATTTATTGCAATCATTTACCTGCAATGACTAGTCCTGAGAAGGTGGTGGTAAGATGCCTTCTTGAACCACTGCAGTCCATTTTCTGTAGGTACACCCTCAATTTTGTTAGGGAGGAAGGTGAGCAAGGAGGGGATGTTAAACTGATACAAAGACACTTGTTAGGCCTCAACTGGAGTACTGTGTAAAGGTAACACACTACAAGATAGATATGAGTGCATTGGACAGAGGGCAGAATGGATTTACAAGAGTGGTTCCAGGAATGAGAAATTTCAGTTATGAGGATAAAATGAAAAAGTTGGGACTGTTCACCTTGGAGAGAAAAAGGCTGAGAGGAAATATGACTGAGGATTTGGGCTAGATAGAGTAGATAGAGAGAAGTGTTCCTGCTCATTAAAAAAAAAGAGGCCACAAGATTTAAAGTGATGACCAAACAAAGCAAGGGTGATGTGAGATAAAGCTTCTTCATAAACTGTGTAGCTAGGGTAGAGAATGCACTGCCTGGAAATGTGATGACAGTATTGAATGAATATTTGGATTTTTTATATTCATTCATGGGATGAGGGTGTTGCTAGCTAAGCCAGCATTTATTGCCCATCCCTAATTGCCTAGAGGGCAGTTATGAGTCAACAATATTGATGTGAGTATGGAGTCACATGTGGGCCAGACCCACAGAATGACAGCTTCCTTCCCTCAGAACATTAGGAAACCAGATGGATTTTTTTCAACAGTCAACAATGGATTCATGGTCATCATTAGACACTTAATTCCAGATTTTCACTGAATTCAAATTCCACCATCTGCTGTGGCAGAATTCAAGCCCAGGTCCCCATAAAAATTACCTGAGTCCCTGGATTAACAGTCCAGTGATAAAACAACTAGGCCATCACCTCCCCCAAGATAATAGGCAGGCTTTGGGGAGTCAGGAGGTGAGATACTCGTAGTATTCCGACCCTCTGACCTTCTTTTGTGGCTATTGTAGCAAGTGGCAATTATGTGTCAAGTCTAGTTGAGTTTCTGGTCGATAAATAGAACTGGTGCAGTGCATCTTGTGGATGGTTCACACTACTGCTATTGTGTATCAAGTGTTGGAGACAGTGAATGTTTGTGGATGTAGTGCCAATCAAGTGGGCTGCTTAGTCCTGGATTGAGTCAAGCATCTTGCGTGTTACTGGAGCTGCACTCATCCAGGCAAAAGGATGGTATTCCACCTCACTCCTGACTAGCACTTTGTAGATAACGGACAAGCAGTGGGGAGTTAGGAAGTGAGTTACTCACTGCAGGATTCCTGGCATCTGACCTGCTCTTGCAGCCACAGTATTTATACGGCTAGTCTAGCTCAATTTCTAGTCAATGGTAACCCCAGGGATGCTGACAGTGGAGTATTATGTAATGGTACTACCACTGAGTTTCAAGGGGCAGTGGTTAGATTCTCTGTTGCTGGAAATGGTCATTGCCTGGCACTTGACTGGCACAAACATTACTTGTCATTTAGCCTAAGCTTGCCTATTGTCCCGGTCTTGCATCATTTGGATATGAACTGCTTCAGTTTCTGAGGACATGCAAATGGTGCTGAATATCGAATACTGCACATCCCCACTTCTGGCCTTATGATGGAGCTAATTGATGGAGTCATTGATGCAATTTAAGATGGGTGAGCCTAGTACACAATGTTAACACCTGGAATGAGTGGGTTGTCTTATGATAGCCTGGGCTCGTTTTCACTGGAGTCGAGAAGAGTGAGGGCTAACTTATTTGAAGTGTCTAAGGTCCTGAATAGTCTTGACAAGACTGATGTGGAAAATGTGTTTCCTCTTGTGGATAAATCCAGAACTAGGGAGCATGGTTTCAAATTTAAAAATGTCTGCTGACACTCCCAAATAGCTCTCAGTACACATGGGCAAAACACACGTGCACAGTACCCCTGACAGCACTGCTGGTGATGTAATTCCATCCTTTTCACTTCTATTTATTACGCTTACGTGGGCGCTGCTATGTCTTTTACTAGCACAGCATTTTCACAAAGTGTACATACACAGAACTTTCTGAATGAGCAATGTAAACTTTCCAGGTGTGTCAGGAAACTCAGCCTTCAAATTAGGGGTTGCGCCTTAAAGACAGAGATGAGTGGAATCTTTTTCTCTCAGGGCTCCGCAACTTCAGAACTCTCGGCCTCAGAGCAGTGGAAGTGAGATCAGTAAATACTGTAAAGGCAGTGGCAGATAGATTCTTGTTATGCAAGGGAGTCAAAGGTTATCAAGGGTAGATAGGAATGGGGAACTTCAATTACAAACAGATCAACCTTCGTCTTATTAAATGACAAAGCGGGCTTGAGAAACTGAATGGCTCCTATTTTGTACGCTCATACAGTCAAACGGATAAAAACTCATCGCTCACAGGATGGTGTTTTTTTCTTAAGGGTGATAAAGCCATCCACTTAAAGTACATTTTCAATGCTAAATGTGTACAGTGTCCAGACTACCTCCCAACAATAACTTTGTTGTATTCACTGTGAAATGTATTATTCATATTGACTTTAATTTGACCATTAAATTAAAAACACAAGGTTTCACCTTATTTTGTATATTAATTTCTCAGCATAACAATTTAGTGATTGCTCCTGTTTCCTGATCTGTCTGTGGATTGTAATGCTCCAAACATACATCCACCCTCTCTTCATCTAACCCCATCACAATAATCTTTCTATTCCATGCTCCCACCCCCACCTGTTCTTTTTGCTTCCTTTTACATAAATCTAAGCTATTTGCCTCAATTATCTCACATGGTAGCATCCATACACTCTTTGGGCAAGCACAAACTGAATTTTTGAACCTTGTGAACTCTAGTAAGACTTGGAAATTGACAATTTCAAGTCCTATCTCTCAAGAAAAAAATACAATCCTCAGAGTATTCTTTAATAAAGATATTGCAAGAAAAAGCTACTAAATTAGAAAGATGTGGAAGTACTTTTTATGTGTAACTGCACCAAAACACCGCATTTCTGTTTCCATGGTTACAGATGAAATCACTAAATTGGTTAAGAGAACATTTCTGCATTCAGCCATTCTCATTTCTAATTCTCAAGCAGTCAAGAAAAAGAAATCTCTTGTAAAAAACGTGAATGCCACTCCACCAACAAACATGAAAGCAGCTTGAAAGTCCCTACTACGTAATTCAAACTAGTACTGATCTTTTAGGAATGTTGGAGCAGGACTAGGCCATTCAGCCCATTGAGCCTGCTCTGCCATTCAACTTAATCCTGACTAATCTTCTACTGTAATGTTATTTTCTTGCATTCTCTCTAAATCACTTGGTATCTTTAATATCTGGAAATTCATTAATTTCTGTATTGAAAATACTCAATGACTGAGCCAACACAGCCATCTGGGGGTTAAGAATTCCAAAGATTCACCATCGTGACTGAAGAAATTCATCCTCATCTCAGTCCTAAATGGTCTATATCTTATTCAGAGATTGTGTCCTCTGGTTCTAGACTCCACAACCAGAGCAAACATCATTATTGCATCGACCCTATCAAGCCCTTTATGTGCTTAAATGAGATAACTTCTTATTCTTCTAAACTCATGAAAAATCTGTACAACAATCTTGTGAAAGGATTCTGTTTTCCTTAAGTTGAATCAATTCTGTTTCCATGTTCCTCACATTAAATTCTATTTTAAATTAATAAAATAAAATAAAAAGAAGTCTGATACATGTTTGAAGTCATTCTATTCTTCACACTTTAGCCATTTCAAACAAATCACTTCTATTCTACTAAGTATGGGATATAGTGGTAATCATCCTTCAACATAGAATTTGCAAATATAAAGAGCAAGGTAAGCCTTGCGTTAAAGAGGAGGAGAGAGAAAAGAGGCAATGATGGGATTTTTCAACCACAATCCAAGTGATTCTTTCTTTACTTTGTCCAATATATCCATTTCAGCAGAATACTCAAATTGGAGAAGCATATGAAAATAGTCCCTTCAGTTATGCTGGAATAAATACGGCTCATAATAACAATACAAATGCAAACCTTTGCTGGACCACCTCACTATGAATTTCTTTCGACTTACTTCAGTGACATTGAAAAATGTGATAACTCTAAATTTGAAGTCAACTTGATGTTATGTAAATGGGCACACCATTTAGCCGGTCAAAGGCTGTCAATAACCTTAACTTCTGACCTATTACAAGTATTGGAGAAGAACAAACTGTCACTCTGTTACAAGGCAACTTTGACTGAATATTGCAAGGATATATTGTAACAGAATGTACCTCTAGAATTGTAATGGTTTTTCTTTCTTTTCCCCCCCCCCCCCCCCCCTATATTGTTACTTCAGGAAAACAAGCTAAAAAAAACTATTCACATGTTACTTTCAAGTGTGGACTGGCAGACAAGCCGTCTCCAACGCTGCATAGTTTCCAAGCATCAAAAGATAAGAGGAAATTTGAACGAGGATTACGTTCCAATTGTCGCCTCCAATAGCATGGCAAAGATTAAAAATTCATTGGGTGAGGAAAAAGGTCTAAACTGGAACCCATATTGTTACTGTAACACACCCTGCCATTGACTGCATACCACTGAAATGCTAAGCAACTTCTGCTATTTGCAAGCTTCTTACCTGGACTGCAATGTAAAGACCTGGAACATTAAAGGATTCGAACATGATCTCTGCAAGGTACTCTCGATTTTCTGGTGTATTGAGTGGTGGTTCTGTCTGCAACAAGAGTGCAATTAGTTTTATGAAAAATTAAATGCATCCATTGAAGGAAAATTCTGTTGCCTTCACCCTTTTAATGTTTAAATATAGACCACCAAACCCCCCACCCCGGCTTCAAAGACTGAAGTACCTCCAAAGAGTTGTTTCATTCTCTTTTGATAATTCCACATTCAGTCCTTCATCCATTTATAGTCATAACCTCATTATATTCTCTGGCCTCAGATAGAGTTCACATTTCTTTCACTGCTGAAGGTGCCTCTTTCTGTTTAAGACAAATCACTTCTCTTTTCTACAAATGATATTCCCAACTTTGTCTTAGATTTGAACATTTCTCCAACGTTTGGGAAGGCATTTCTGGCACACTTCATGCATGTATGAACAGAAAAATAAAAACCAAAGCACCAAGAAGCTCCTCTGAATTTTCCTTTCATTCCTTCTAAGCCTCATAATGATGTTCCCTACACCCTCTTCCCTGCTTACATCTCTATAAGCTAAATAAAGGCCAATTAATTCTTTTACAAAGCTTCAAAACTGAAGTTTCTTAATTTCTTCTCCTTTTCATTCTCCTAAAATCTGAAGGATTTAATTGAAAACATGCCTTTAAATCGCGTCTTTAACATAGTAAAATGTCTAAAGGAGCTTTACAGGAGTGTTAACAATATTTAACATTCATGTCCATCAAAATAGATTATGACAGTTGACCAAACAACCAGAAGATGCTACCAAAGTTGTAGTCACAGGGGAGGCAGTTGAGGCACTGGATTGATAAACAAGTAGATCCGTACTTAACACTAATAAGCCACCAGAATAGCTTCAGTTGCATCTAAGGACACTGAAGGCAAGGGTAAAATTTGTGGAGGCATTGTATTCCTTCATTGTTACAGAGGACTAGAAAATTGTAACAAAAACAGAAGTTGCTGGAAAAGCTCAGCAGGTCTAGCAGCATCTGTGAAGAAAAATCAGAGTTAATGTTTCAGGTCTGGTGACTTCTGAGGAAGGGTCACCAGACCCGAAACATTAACTCTGATTTTTCTTCACAGATGCTGCCAGACCTGCTGAGCTTTTCCAGCAACTTCTGTTTTTGCTCCTGATTTACAGCATCCACAGTTCTTTTGGTTTTTATTTACTGGAAAATTGTAGCCTTTATAAAAAAGGTTAAAGGATATGCCCAGCAGGCCCAATGAGTTTAACCTCAGTCAGGGGAAAATTTCAGAGAAATAATCTGATACGATAAAAAAATGATCACTTGAACAAGGCTGGATTAATTAAGGAAAGTCACATGGATTTAAGGGCAAAATGTGTTTTAATAATTTGAGTGAGTTTTTGTTTTAAGTTAACAAAGGAGGTTTATGACAGTAATGCGATTATATGGTATACATGGATAGAGAGTTTAGAGAGGAAATTCCAGACTTTAGAGCTAAGGCTGCTGAAGGCATGACCACCAATAATAGAACAATGGAAGTTGGAGAGGAGTAAGTGACAAGAATTGGTAGAAAATAGAAATCAAGGAGTGTTAAATGGCTGCAAATTAGGTGCAAATTAAATCACTCACTCCAAATTTATCTGGTATTTCCTCCTTAACTTCTGAATGGACCTGGCTTTTTCTCTTTGACTACACACTTTTTAAAAAAAAGCCATCATTGGGACTAATGCAGAAGATATAAAACAGATTAGCAAAGACAAAGTTCAATGCAACATTTCAGATTCAACTCTTCTTTCAGAACGACTGATTCTTTTAAGGTATTTACTGATCTGCTTTACAAGTTAACCAGCTTTATTTTAGATTTCCAGCATCTGCTTTGCTTTTCTCTGTTTCCTAACTGACAACCAACTGTATTATCAGGTAAGTTTCAAAGTTACAGACAAGCTAGTACTGGTTTCCTTTTGTACTGCTTTTATTGTTGGAAAATTATCAATGTTGGAGTTAAATGGAAAACACGCAACATTCTTGAACTTTATTTCTGATCTGTGTGGTGATAACAGCTCTCATATTTTAAAAGTTTAAGTGCAAGTTGCTAACAGCTGGACAAGTAAAGCCAATGTGGCTCAGGGAATAGACAGGATTACGCTGAAACGTATTTCAAGTGAAGGATTTTCTGGTTTATATGCACAATTGACAAATATTTGAAAGGTTTGATATAGAATAAAATCATTGTTTTCTTGCAGTTACACTCATAATATCTTTAAAAAATTACAAATAGATTCATCATAATTCTGTTTGAAATACAAGATGTGCCAGGATGTATACATTCTTTTCTTTCCAAAAGCAAAAGTCTATGAACTCTTTCTAGGCACAATTTTTATATTTTACGTCTATCATATAAATAGAGAAATTAAATTTGCAAATCCTCATTCCTGCCAAAATACAACTTCTAAGCAATAAAATCAGCCCATTGTTAAATCTGGAACAGAGATGCATAATACCATACAAGCATAAGCACACCAACTAAGTTATTATCACCTATGGTAATAAATATTTTATAGTCAAATATTATCATGTGCATCTTTTACTGCGAGGCCACATAATTACTACCTTGTACATTTATATGTTTCCATTAGTTTTAATATTTTCAATTATCTTTTTGTTTTTATTTAATTCCTTACCTCTCTCATGCTATACATATAAACCAATTCTCTGACCCCTCACCCTGTCACATTCTCTAACCCACACAACAGTCAATTCCCTCATTACCAGGAAGACAGAAAATAACAACTGATAATAATTATCAGTTCACATCATCATTGTCCTCTTTGCATTTGGCCCAAACCAATTTTCAAAACTGACAAGACATTTCACACCAATTATAATACTTAATGGGAAAATTGCATTCTGTATAAACTTTAGCTGCAAACTTTTTCATACTAAAATAAAACCATGCACTGAAGACTGAAGTTAAATAGATTATTACCAGCACTTCCAGGAATCAAGCTTAATTAAATGCTTATTTTATCGTCTTCAAAATTTAGTCAAACTTTCGCAAACCTCACAAGAAAGCACATGTAAAAGATTTTGTAACACTGTTCTGGTAAATGACATTTTTTTGGTCAACTTTTCCCCTCCCTTTCTTTAAACCAACTTCTCCTTGCATACAGTTCTAAGTCCTTATTCTTAATGTACTGAGTATGGTAACACCTGTCAACAGACCAATCACATTTAGTATTCCAAATTCCTGTCTTTGTCAAAGGTCGATCCAATCTGTGGCAAGAGCTGCTGAACACGGTTTAGCAGATATAGCAATTAATCAAGTAAATGGGATAGAGATACACAGAATGGTATGATAGGTTCAAGGTTTTAAAATGACATTTTTTTTGTTCCTGTCTTTCTATAAGAACAGTTTACAGCACAGGCCAAAGTGCTAGATCATATAAATATGAGGTACTGCATTTCCACCACAGGTTAGAATTGTAATTACAGGGTGATAAATTTACATAAGTGGTTTCTATTATAAATGTTGGGCTATAGATTTTATATTACAAGTAAAATCTACACATAAAATGAGGCAAATACAAAAGGTACATGCCAGTATAAAATAACTAATATAATAGACATATTTTGCATGGTTCTGGTCTACTGCAATTTAGTTCTTTTTAATTAATTCATACGATGTGGGCGTCACTGGCTAGGCAAGCATTTGTTGCTCATTCCTAATTCAAATTGTACCAATATAGGTTTGATCAGAAACAGTATTTGAAATTCAAGTACTAGCTGGAATACTGGTTTGATAAAAAATTATGTAGAATATGCACGAGCACAGGCAACTTCAAATAAACAGAATCGTTATGATTGCCAATTAACCCAATGTCACAACCATTAAAAAGTGATGATCCTCAGGTTCTGCTCGGAGATACTTGAATATCACATGTTCCATAAATCTTTCCATTAGATCCCAGTCTTCAACTAAACCATGTCGAATGGGCCACTAGAAATAGAAACAAAATTCCAAAGTCAGCTATAGATGTGTCACCTTTTATACATACCTAGTCCCACAGCAACGTTTCCCACATCATTTGGAAATCTTGTGGTTTAACAAGAACATAAATAAAATAAATGCACAGAATGAAATAGGGAAGAGAAGGTTCCAAAGATCATATTATCTGATTAGAGCTGAGCCTGTTCCAACAGTGTTTCAGCACTTACACCTTTTAACTGCAAGCACCTAATACTTAAAAAGGAAATTCACAACTTTTAGAATTATCAAAATACTCTCTTTATTCAGGAATCCTGAACTCTTACTAACAAAGGGAATAGACACCACAAATGAAATCAGAGACAATGCAAGGCACAGGATATTCTCCCAGTTAATTCAGTTAAATTCTTCTGCTACAGCTATATTTACCAGCATTAATACAGAGGATAATAGGTGGAGGCCTAGACATTTAATGGAAACTGGTACTACTTGTTCCCTCAAGGGTGTAAAGAACTCTGCACATTGTAGGATTTAAATTTTCAAATGGAGCTGGAGAGTGGACATAGAAACTGACAGAATCGCATTACACAGTATGGAAAAAATAGCAAATAGAAAATGTACTGTATAAGCAACAAATTGTGGTGTGGTGGAAGAACAGGTGTGATTAATATTGACAATATAGTTAGAACGGAGGAAGAATTCAAGCAAAAGAGGCAATTTTAGTAAACATACAGAATAGATATGTAAAGGAAAATCAATTTCAAAATAGAGAAAGGTAGGATATTTTAGTAAGATAAATACAAACATACAAATTCAGAACAAGAGTAGGCCACTCAGGCCATTGAACCTGCTCTATCATTCAATAAGATCATAGCTGATCTGATTACTTCACAACCATCTTACCCCCAATAATCTTTCATGCCATTGCTTATCAAAAACTTAACTCTAGCTTAAAACATTCAAGGGCTCTGCTTCCACCAGCTTTTCAAGAGGAGAATTCCAGCCACTGGCAACCTTCTGAGGAAAAAGAATGTTCTCACCCATCTGTCTTAAATGGATGACCCTTTATGGTGACCCCTAATTCTAGATTCTAGACAAGGACTTCCACATCCATCATGTCAAAATCCCTCAGAATTTTACATGCTGCAATCTCACCACCCCTTATTCCAAATATCAGCAGATTTAAAGTGAGCCTGTCCAACCACTCGTCATAAAGCACCTGCATATTCTTGGTGTTAGTCCAGTAAATGTTTTCTGAATTGTATCTAATGCAATTACATCCTTAATTAAATAAGAAAACCAATACCATAGCACTACAGACATGGTCTCACCAAGGCCCTATATAACTTAAGTATAACCTTCCTATGTTTGTAATCAAATCCCCTTGCACTAAATGCACATTCTACTTGCTTTTCTAATTACATGTAATACCTGCTTACTACCCTTATGAATTCGTACACAAGGCTACCCAGATTTCACTGCGTCTCCCGACACACCTCTAGCCAAGCTATTCCCAGACAGCAACAACACTGGCCTCAACGGACAATTTGGAAAATTGTCCAGGTAAGTCATGAACACAAAAAGCACACTAATGTCCTATATCAAAGGAAATTTGTCATCCCTACATGGTGTGGCCCTCATGTGACTCCAGACCTGCATCAGTAAGGTTGACAACAAAAACAGAAATTGCTGGAAAAGCTCAGCAGGTCTGGCAGCATCTGTGGAGAGAAATCAGAGTTAACATTTTGGGTCAAATGACCCTTCCTCAGTGACCCTGCCAGACCTGCTTTTCTAACAATTTCTAGTTTTGTTTCTGATTTACAGCATCTGCAGTTCTTTCAGTTTTTATTCTGAAATGGCCTAACAAACCATTCATTCAGTTTTCTTAACCACTGGGAAAAAAATCTCAAAAAATGAATAAGGCCAGACAGACCACCTTGCATAAAGTAAGGCACCAGAAATGATAATGGAAAAATCAGTCCTGTTGACCTTGCGAAGTCCTCCTTACCAATATCTGTAGCCTAGTGCCAAAATTGGGAGAGTGGTCCCATAGGTTGGTCAACTAACAGCCTGACATAGTCATACTCACAAAATCATACATTGTACATTATGACCCTGTCAATACCATCATCATTCCTGGATACGTGATGCCCCGTCGGCAGGACAGAACCCAGAAGTGCTGGTGTCACCGTGATATACTTTCATGGCATCAGTTCAAACATGATCATGGAAACCTCTTGCTGATTTTCACATATCACCTCCCCACTCAGCTTATGAATACATACTCAGTTGAACACCACCTAAAGGAAACACAGAGGGTGGCAAGAACGAAGAATGTACTCTGGTGGGAAATTTCAATGTCCATCCACAAAAGTGGCTCTGCAGCACCACTACTGACCAAGTTAGTCAAGTCCTAAAGAACATAATGCCTCAAATGGAAACTGTGGCAAGTGGCGAGGGAACCAATAAGGAACAACATACTTGACCTCATCTTCACTAATCTGCTTGCTGCAGGTGCTTCTGTGTCAGTGACAGTGACAATTGCACAGTCCTGAGGGGACAAAACTACTCAACATGGTATCATCAATCACCGCATTAAATGGGATTCATTTCAAATAGATCTAACAACTCAAGATTGAGCTTCTATGAGATGCTGCAGGTTATCAGCATCAGTAAAACTGTACTCAAATACATTCCAGAGCCTCATAACCTATGCACCAAGCACAAGTGCACAAGGTCATGCCAGGTGCAACACCACACAAACCTAAAATGAGGGGTCAAACTGGTGAAACTACACACTTGTATCCCAAACAGCATAAGCAACAAATAACAAACAGAGCTAAGAGATTCCATAACCAACAGATCAGGTCTAAGCTTTGCAGTTTTGCCACATCCAATCGTGAATTGTAGTGATTAAATAAGTCACTGGATGAGAAGTCTCCACAAATATCCCCATACACAATGATGGGGGAGCACAGCACATCAGTGCAAAAAATAATGCTAAAGCATTTGCAACAATCTTCAGCCAGAAGTGCTGAATGAATGACCCATCTCAGCCTCTCTAGAATGCCCCAGAATCACAGATGCCAGTCTTCAGCCAATTTTATTCATTCCAGAGATAGCAGGAACTGCAGATGCTGGAGAATCTGAAATAACAAGGCGTAGAGCTGGATGAACACAGCAGGCCCAGCAGCATCATTGGAACAGGAAGGCTGACGTTTCGGGCCTAGACCCTTCATCCTATCAGAGATAGTAGGAACTGCAGATGCTGGAGAATCTGAGATAACAAGGAGTAGAGCTGGATGAACACAGCAGGCCATTCCAGCTTGGGTTCTGCTAGGGCCAATCAACTTCTGATCTCATTACATGGATGAAAGAGCTGAATTCCAGAGATGAAGCAAGAGTGGCTGCAATTGACATCTCAAGTCTTCATCCTTAACAAGTAGGGCATCAAGGGCCCTGAGCAAAATTATCACCCAGCACTTGCTTATCAATAGCTTTCTCAATGACACCCAGATGGGGTTCTACAAACATACAATATACAGTCAAGGAACAAGAGTAGGCCACTTGGCACTTCGAGCTTTTTCTACCATTCAATAAGATCATGCTGATCTGATTTTAACCTCAACTCTAAATTCCTGTATCCCCCCAATAATCTTTCATCAAAATCTATCTAACCCTTGCCTTAGAAATATTTAAAGATTCTGCATCCATTACGTTTTAGGGAAAGGTATTCCAAAGACATTCAACCCTTTGACAGGTTTTTTTTCCCTCATCTCTGTTTTAAATGTTCAACCCCTTATTTTTAAACTAAGACCCCTAGTTCTAGACTGTCCCACACGAAGAAAACGCTTTCAACATCCAAACAGTCCAGTTCCCTCAGGATCTTGCATGTTCCAATTAAGTCACTTCTGACTCTTCTAAACTCCAGAGGAGTCAGGCCTGGTCTGACTAGTCTTTCCTCATAAGGCAATCCACATATTCTAGATATTAGCCTAGTAAACCTTATCTGAACTGCTTCCAAATTATTAACATCCTTCCATGAATACGTTGACCAGTACTGTACACAATATTCCAGATGTGGTCTCACCAATTCCATGTATAACTGAACATAAACTCCTTACTCTTGCATTCAATTCTGCTTGCAATAAACTGTAACATTCTATTAGCTTTCCTGATTCTTTGATGTATATGCATGCTAACCTTCTGCGATGCATGCACTACAACACCCCGATTTCTCTGCAACTCAGTGCTCTGCAACCTCTCACCATTTAAATAATGTGCTTCTTTTTTATTCCTTCTGCCAAAATGGACAATCTTACACTGTTCTACGTTATACTCCATTTGCTAGATCTTAGCCTATTCACTTAACCTACCCTTCACAATTTGCTTTCCTACTTACCTTTGTACCATCAGGAAATTTAGCCACCATACATTCGTTCCCTCCTTCCAAGTAATTTATATAAATGTTAAAGAATTGAGGCCCAATACTCACTCTTGTTGCACTTCATCCATGACATTCCTGCCAGCCTGAAAAAGACTGATTTATTCCTACTCTCTGCTTCTGTTAGCAAGCCAATCTTCTATCCACATCAATATGTTACCCCTTACACCATGAGCTTTCTGCCAGGACCACTCAGCCTGCAGCCTGGAGCTTCTGCCAGGAGCACTAAGCTTCTGACTTCATTACAGCCTTTGTTCAAACTTAGACAAAAGTGCTGAATTCCAGAGATGAGTTGAGTGCGAGCATCCTTAGTATCATGGCTGTATTTGACTGAGTGTGGCATCAAGAGGCCCCAAACAAAACTGTAGTCAATGAAATTAGGGGCAAAAACCCTCTCTTGGTTTCAATCATACCTAGCACAAAAGAAGATTATTGAGGTTCTTGGAATTCAGTTGTCTCAGCACCAAGAAATCACTGCAGGAATTCCTCACAGCAGTGTCTTAATTGCCCATAGGGCAGTCAAGTGTCAACCACATTGCTTTGTGTCTGCAGCCACATGTAGGTGAGCAACCAGGTAAGGATGATGGCCTCTCTCTCCCTAAAGGATCATCAGTGAACCAGATGGGCTCTAGCAACAATGGATTCATGGCCATTATTAGACTCTTAATTCCAGATTTTTATTGAATTCAAATTCCACCATGTGCCATGGCAGGATCTGAACCCAGGTCCCCGGAACACTACCCAGGTCCCTGAACCAACACACTATCATCTAGACTACTAGATACCACTGGACTATCATCTCCCTCTTTGGGACTCATTGCTGCAGAAGGTTATGGAGGCTATTGCGTGTATTTAAGACAGAGATAGATAGGTTCTTGATCAGTAGGGGGATCAAAGGTTACTGGGAGCAAAAGTATGAGGTTGAGAAACAGATCAGCCGTGATCAAATGATACAGTTGTGCTCAATGAGCTGAATGGGCCTAATTCTCCTCCTATATGTTATGATCTTATCTTCCAAGTTTTGCCCATTCACTTAATCTGTCTATATCCCTCTGCAGACTGTGTCACCCTCACCACTTGCCTTCTCACTTATTTTTGGCATCTGCAAACTTGGCTGTACTACATTCACTTCTCTCATAGAAGTCACTAACATGTTGTAAATATTTGTGGACCCAGCAATTATCTCTGAGGCACTCCGCTAGGAACAGGCTGCTCACCTCAAATACCCCCCCTTATTCCAACTCCCTGTCTTCTATTAATATATTACCTCCAACACCATGGGATCTTTTCATACTAAATTGCTTCATGGATTGGTCCTCTTTTCAAATAAAGATGTTACATTGGCAGTTCTCAATCCTCTTGGAAGTTTCCAGAATCTAAGAATTCCTGGAAGATTACAATGGGGAAAAGGCAGGAGACTGGTAATAAAGTAAAAAGCTCAGATAGCCAGTACTAATAAGGCTAGCGAAAAACGTCAAAAGGACAGAGACAAGTCTGTGCAATGGTTGAGACCGGTTGCTGAGGAAGTTCAATGTGTAAAGAAATACATTTCAGTAGGAAGAATATGACGAGACAGTATAAAGTAGGAAATAATTTTAAAGAGCCAGAGGGACCTAAATGAATCATTGAAAGTGGTCAGACATTTTGTGAGATGGCTTACTAAACCAACCAGTGTCCAGGGATTTATTAACTGGGACATGAAGTACATTAAACTTAGTATAAGACACTAAATTGGCCTCTGGTTGAATATTAAACCAGTTTTGGGCACCACACTTTAGAATAATCTTCTGGTTGGACAAGATGTATTAAGCGGTGTAACACAGGGATCGGTGCTGATCTTTGTCACAATTTATAATTTTACAATTTATATAAATCACTGGATAATGGGACAGGATGGCTGCTAAATTTGCTGATGACGCACGTTAGGTAGCAAAGTGAAGTTGTGAGGAAGATATGAAGTTACAAAGGGAGGTATGAGCATTAAACAGGTGGCACGGATAGTGGTTAGCACTGCTGCCTCACAGCGCCAGGGGCCCGGGTTCGATTCCACCCTTGGGCGTCTGTGTGGAGTTTGCACATTCTCCCAGTGTCTGCGTGGGGTTCCTCCGGGTGCTTCGGTTTCCTCCCCCAGTCCAAAGATGTGCAGGCTAGATGGATTGGCCATGCTAAATTGCCCCATAGTGTTCAGGGATGTGTAGATTAGGTGGGTGTATAGGGGAATGGGTCTGGATGGGATGCTCCGAGGGTCAGTGTGGACCTGTTGGGCTGAAGGGCCTGTTTCCACACTGTAGGGATTCTATGATTCCATGAAAATATCTGGAAAATGGAACATTTATGAGAAAACATGAATTGAGATATATTGTTTATTCACTCACAGAATGTGGGTATCACTGGCTGGGCTGGCATTTAACGTCTATCTCTAGTTACCCCAGTGGTGGTGAGCTACTGCCTTGACCACTGCAGGTTTACACACAATGCCATAAGGCAGGGCATTCCAGAATTTTTATCAAGTGACACTGAAGGAATAGCAATATATTTCCAAATCAGAATTGTGAAGAAATTATGCCCTGTACTTCAAGGTCAAGGTAACAATATATATCTTTACCAAGACAGTATTTAGAATGTGGAAATCATAACCAAGTGGAGTACCAAGACAAACATCAGAAAACCCATCAATAAGAAGCTGGATAAAGGAGAGGGCAAAGAGAACAGAAAGTATGCCGAAATGGTTTTATAGAATGAGGTTGTATGGTAACTAAAAATCAATATAGGTCTTTTCTGTGCTGTAAATTCTATGCAATTCTTCAAAGAGAGGTCATCAACAAACATTAAACTCCCTCTGTCACTCATCAGCTTTGGTCCAAGGGAAAGGTAAGTCAGCAAGGTGAAACTTTAGGAGTGTCAATATGCCCAAACTAGTACACAGAAGTACCAACATAGACACAAGTATTTTTGTTTCATTAGACTATATTCACTTATCAACACTTGGACAGATTGGTCTATAACCTGTTTCACACATTTTTTTGCACAATATGGCAACAACAATGATCTGAGATCTCTAAAATGAGTTTCTGTAATCACCCTTGTGAAACAAGAGAAAAAGAGTTAGGTTGTTGCCCATGTAGTACAGAATTTTTTTTTGTCTTCCTCCAAGACAAATTACTGGCCACACCAATCTCATGGCCCCGCTGCAATTATGTAATGGTGACAAGAAAGAGTAAAATTTTAAAATTACCTTTGTGGCATACGTTGGTTTATCTACAGCTTCGTCACCTATGTAAAAGTCTAGGTCATCCACTCCCCTCACCAACCTCCGCTGTGCATGGTCACCTATCCTGGCTGATTCTTTGATTGCTATACCTGGGGAGGTACAAAACACAAGGAGTCAATCAAAAGCTATCAATTACACCCACTTAAACACAGTCAATATATTATTATTGTTGTAATCTCGCAAACTCTTAAAAAGCTAATGGCTCAAAGTGACCATGGCAACTAATGTACATGAATGATGGAATCTAGCAATAATTACTTGATACCTTATTTATTCAGTTTAAGGAGAACAAATGTTGATTTTGTAAAAGGGGCAAGGTTTTCAACCAGTAGTAACAGGACATAATAAAAGGCAAGTGACTGCATATACACAAACATCTCAGCAACAATATAAATGTGCATCAAATTATTTATCACAATGATTTAAGCATACAAACAATTATTTAAGAGATTTGAAAATTAACATTTTTCAGCCCTTTGTGAGGAAAACAAAGACAATAAATTTAAACCGCTCCAATAAAATCCTTTACAAATTGCACCAAAATCAGCATTGAAGCACACAAAGGAGGGCATTCAGGCCAATGTGCCTTGCTGTTTCTTGAAAAGAGCTGTCTAATTACTCCATTTCGTTGTTGTTTCCCCATAACTCTATAAACTGCATTGCTTCAGTAATAATCCAATTACCTTTTGAAATTTTCCCTTGCATTACAATCACTTCCTTTCAGGCAATGCAGATTGAAGGTCACAAAAACTGCTGCATGAAACAAAAAGCCTCTGGTTTTTTCGGCTTCACCTAAATCTCTGCCATAACACATAGGAGCATAAGTAGGCCATTCAACCCATCGAATCTGCTCCACTGCTCAATGAGATCGTGGCTGATCTGATAATCCTCAACTTCACTTTCCTTCATTTTCCCTATAATCTAATTCCCCGACTGCTTAAAAATGAGGCTATCTCAGCCTTGAATAGACTCAATGACCCAGCCTCAACAGCCCTCTGTGGTATGAATTGCACAGATTCACACCCTCAGAGAAGAAATTCCACCTCACCTTTGTCTTAACAGGGCAATCCCTTATTCTAAGACTATGCCTTCTGGTCCTAAACTCTCCTTAGATAAGAGGCCCAAAACTGTGCACAGTATTCCTGACTAGTGTTGTATACAGTTTTAATAAAAGCTCCCTTCTTTTATAAAAGCCTAAAGGACCATGGATGCTTAAATCAGAAACAAAAACGGAAATTGCTGGAAAAGCTCAGCAGGTCTAGCAGCATCTGTGGAGAGAAAGCAGAGTTAACATTTTGGGTTGAGTGACCCTTCCTCAGAACTACAGAGAATGCCAACAGGAATCCTTTCTCTCCATTTACTCTTTCAGGACCCCTAATGATTTTGAGAACCTATATCAAATTTCTTCTTCAACTATTATGCCAACTTCTCCAATCTATCCATGTAACTCAAGTTCCTCATCTCCAGAACCAGTATCATAAATCAGTTCTGCACCTTTCACCTTGAATTGGACACAATACTCCAGTTTAGGCCAAACTCATGTTTTATACAGGTTTATCACAGCTTCTTTGCTTTAGTATCCTATTGATAAAAGCTTATGATGCTATAGGCACTTTTTCAACCTTTCCTGTCACCTTCAAATGATTTACGTACATGTACCCCAAGATCCCTCTGCCCTACACCCCCTGTAGAACTCTAAACTGTGTTTTATACTGCCTCTCCTCACTCTTCTTACAAAAGTGTATTAATTCACCCTTCTCTGAATTAAATTTCATCTTCCATTTACACATGCTGGTCTTTGCCATTTTGAAATTTATCAATATGCTCCTTTCAGCCTCCAGCTCTTCCAAGTTTTGTATCGGCCACAAACTTTAAAATCATGCATTTAAATCTAGGTCATTAATATACATCAGGAAGAACAAACATCCAAACATTGATGCCTGGGGAACTCGTGTATCCTTCCTATAGTCCAAAAAGCAAGCATTCAGTATTTCTTTCTGTTTCCGGTCACTAAAGCAGTTATATTTTCATGTGGCTACTGTTTCTTTTACTCAGGGGCTCTTGCTTTTCTGAGAAGCCTGTTGTTATGTGGCACTTTATCAAATATCTTTTGGAAGTCTATGTATACCACATAAACCAGACTCTCCTCATCAAGCTTCTATCATCTCATTAAAACACACTACCAAGCTAGTTAAGCATAATTTATCCTCAACAAATCCATGCTGGCGTTCCTTAATTATTTTTTCAAATTATCTTTCTAAAAGCCTTCCCAACAGCCAGATTACTCTGTGGCCTGTATATCCTTTCTCAAACAATGATATAACATTTGCAATTCTCCAGTCCTCTGGCACTGACAATCTAAAGAATATTTTAAGATTATGACCAGTTGTTCCACAAATTTTCAGCCTTATTTTCTTGGTACCCTTGGAAGCATTTAATTATGGCACCTTACCAACATTTAAGTACAGCCTTTTTAACACCTCTTCTTAATATATTTCTCACTTACCAAGTGTGCTATGACTCGGGAAGCATCTTGTGGTGCAATGCGCAAATTATTCATCACTTCAGAAGTGCCTCAGGGCAGACATTTTATAATCACACCGTTCAAAGATATTATTACACATCTCTGGAGCAGTGAGATTTGAATTCAGGTTTCCTGACTCAAAGATAGAAACAACACTACTACTATGCCCATATCCTAGGGTCGACCACTTTCAGCTACTTCAATGACCTCCACTCCGTCATAAAGTCAGATTTAGGGATGTTCACTGATGATCATGCAATGTTCAGTATCCTTCATGACTGCTCAAATACTGAAGCCATCCATGTCCAAGTATGGTGAGACCTGGACAATATCCATGCTTCTTCTAAAAAGTCGCAAGCAACCTTCATGCCACACAAGTGTCAGGCAATGACCACGGTCTAGACTACATATGACTCCAGACTCACCGCAATGTGATTGACTCTTAACAATCTTCTAGGCAATTAGGGATGGGCAATAAATACTGGCCTAGCCAACAACACCTCCTCCTGTGAATGAATAAAACAAAGCCTGCAAGTTCCTTCCTAACAGTTAGTGGATATACCTACACCACAAGAACAGCATTGGTTGAAGAAGGCAGCTCACCACTGTTTTCTCAAGGACAATTAGCATTGGGCAGCAAATGCTGACCTGGCCAGCAATGCCCACATCTGTAGAATTAAAAAAAAGACTGGTAGCAACAGTTCACCAGAGATTCTATAATGCACCACTCTGTTGAAATAACAGTCTCGAAACATCACAACGATTGTTTTAGGTAAAACATTGTTTTAGGATTTCCCCTCTGTCATTATTAAGTTACTTGTATAACATTTCATTCCAGTAGAATAAAAAGTGCGCAAAACAGGTCTTAAAATGGTAAAATTAGAGAAATTATAAAGTACGTTTATACTTACATGAAGGAATGATGAACTGCGGTTCAGTGTTACCTGCATAACCAAGCTTTGTATATCTGAAGGGAAAAATGGAAAAAATTGTATTTAGCCATTTTATTTAGAAAAAAGTTAAACTCACAAATAGTTAATGTTTCACTTTATTTTCTTTAAAGAAAATCTAAAACAAAATGTCTCAGTAGAGAATGTTTTGAAACCATATTTAAAAAGCAGACAGAAGTTAAAAATTTAACTATACAGGGAATGGCAGACTAGTTAGCCTATCATCAGTAGTGGGAATAATGCTAGGGTCTTTTACATAACACCAAACTTGGAAAACATTAACTGAATTGGACAAAGCCAGCATGGGTTTATGAAAGACAAATCGTGCGTATCAAATCTGCTGGAGCTTTTGGAGGATGTAAATAGTAGAATAGATAAGGGAAAGCCAGTGTGTGTGGTGCATTTGGATTTTTAGAACACTTTTGATAAAGAGCTCTCATAAGAGGTTATTAGGCAACATTAGAGCACATAGGATGGGGTAATACTTTGACATGGATCGAGAATTGGTTGGTAGACAGAGTGGGAATAAATAGATCATTTTCCAAGGGAAGATACTGACTAAAGGGACACTGCAAAGATAAATCCTTGGATCCCAACTATTCAATACATATATCTATATCTGGATGAGCGAACCAAATGTAACATTTCCAAATTTGCTGATGTAACAAAACTGAGCATGTTTGAATGTTGAGGAGGATGCTAGGAGGTTTCAAAGAGATCTAGGCAAGTTGAGTGAATGGGCAAAAATATGGCACATACAGTACAACCTGGCTAGATGTGAAGTTATACATGTCAGTGTGAAATGTGAAGAATATTATTTAAATGGCTATATATAGGGATGTGTGGATGTACAAGAGATCTAGGTGTCTTTGTATAAGAGTCAATGAAAATAGACAGCTCCTATAAAAAGGTGACACTTGCCATAAAGGGAGTGCAGCGGAGGTTCATTAGGCTTATACCAGCGATGGCAGGACTGTCCTATAAGGAGAGATTGGTTTGCCTGGGGCTTTATCCACTAAAGTTTAGAAGTATGAGGAGGAATTGAATTGAAACGTATAAAATTCTCACAAGATCAGACAGACCAAATGCAGGGTGGATGTTTTCCCTTAGAGAAAACACAGTGTGGAGCTAGAGGAATACAGCAGGCCAGGCAGCATCAGAGGAGCAGGAATGTTGATGTTTTGGGTCGGGACCCTTGTTTAGAAATGAAGGTTCTGAAGAAGGGTCTTGACCCAAAACATCAACTTCCCTGCTCCTCTGATGCTGCTTGGCCTGCTGTG